GGTATGATTTATGGCGCCTCCCTGTGCCACCAGGGTTCACCTCTACTCTCCACGATCATCTCCCTTTTGGTTCGCGACTGCTTAGCAGCTAGCCTCCATATCTGGAAGCCTTTCCCCCATCCACCACCCGGGGAAGCGCTGGGTTGGGTATGAGGACCCAATATCTAATCTTAGTACCGTACTTCGGAGGTTATAATATTAGAAGACAAAATGCAAAGGGGAAGCAGGAGAGGTCGCCTGTTAGGTGATTGTCTTGGAGAGGTGATCGTTAGAGCAGTTTCGACTGTATTCAATATTATATAAATAAATGTCTAGTGGAAACCGCACTCGTAATCGTGAGTCTGTTGGCTTGGCCATGGAGGCTCAGATCGGCTACCCCTTGTGTCCTTGGGAAAAGCACTTTACACAAATTGAATATCCTCCATTCACCCATGTGTGAAAGGGCACCCGGACCTAGACAGCGAAATATCTTGTCAGTATTTTAGTGTTTTAGCCCCAGCATAATGACAGCTTGCATTGCATGCTTGCCAGGAAGTTGGGATTGTTACCGAATGCTAATTTGTCTACTGGGGTAATGATTATGTGGATTGTAAAGCACATGGAGCTTGCTGTTGACGGGGAATTCATGCCATACAAAATGTAATCTATTATTATGCCTTTGTTTGTGTGTTCTTGTGTGTGCATTTGTATTCTCGTATGTGTTTGTGCGTGTTTGTGTGTGTCTGTGTGTGTGTGTTTGTTTCTGTTTGTGTGTGCTTATGCCTGCTTGTGTTTACTTGTATGTGGTGATGTGTTCTTGTGTGTTCCTATGTGTGCTTATGCATGCTTGTGTGTACTTGTATGCGTGCGTAGAACCAAGAACCAATAAAACCCACAAAACAAGCCAAATGGACGAACCCACTGTCGTGAGATCGAGAGAGGTTCACATGCATACAAGTTCAGTAGGACACCAACTTTGCTTTAACCCCCCCTCCCCCCCAAAACAAAACAAAAACAAAAACAAAAAACAAGGACCCC